GTTTCCACCCATTAAAAAAGAGCCCACCGCAAATGGAGCGGCTGGCGAAACAAAGCGTTTCGCATCCCGTTTCCACCCATTAAAAAAGAGCCCACTGCAAATGGAGCGGCTGGTGAAGCAAAGCGTTTCGCATCCCGTTCCCACCCATGAAAAAAGAGCCCACCGCAAAAAGAGCCTAGGAATGCAATCACCCCATCCGCCGCCTGTTCCCTCTCGCACCCCTTTCCCTTCCAAGCAAAAAGAACACCTCCCACCAAGCACCAATGATAACAGCTGCCTGGTTGCTTCCCTTCCTCAACCTCCCTTTAGTGAGGGGTAGCAGTGGGGGGAGAAGCAAGACACATGTCTTAATGGTACCAGAGATTGAAGCTCCGCTGCTGCATTCTTTACAGTTTCGTCCAGGGAAGCCCATTGTAAAAAAAACCTCATGAGTTCAACTATGTTCAATTAAACCATGGCAACATCTACTGTTTGTGTAGTATTATTTTCAGCAGACTGTATTTTTCTATTGTTGTGACTTAGATGAAGTTCAGAGCACATTTTATGACCAATTCATGCAAAACTCCACGTAATCCCAAGGGGTTCACATACTTTTTCCTCCCTGCACTGTGAACGTTATGTGCAATTAAACCATGGCAACATCTAATGTTTGTGTAGTATTATTTTCAGCAGACTGTATTTTTCTATTGTTGTGACTTAGATGACGTTCAGAGCACATTTTATGACCAATTCATGCAAAACTCCACGTAATCCCAAGGGGTTCACATACTTTTTCTTGCAACTGTATATTGGCAATGAAAAAGTAACTTCATAACCAATCTTTGCATTTTTAGTATTTTAGCATACATGCATGGGTCCGGTTCACCTGAACCGGTAGGGACAATAGGCCATGGTTCTCTGAACTGAGGGTAGAAATCCCTGGTGGCCCTGCCTTCACCTGGCTGCCCGCTTGCCTACTTGCCCACTCGCTTTCTCACCACTTCTAGCTGCTTGGTGGTTCACTTCCAGCTGCTTGGCGCTTCACTTCGACTCCACCCATCCTCTATATAAGGTCTCTTTGCAATGCGGCCTAGCTACTTGGTTCGCCAACCCCTGCTTGATCAGAAGCCTCGATCAGGAAAACTTCTTTTTCTTCCTTTTACAGTAGCAGCCTTTACCAGCAAGGATGAAAAGGCAACAAACTTTGGTTGGTTTCTTGGCCAAGAAACCCAAATTTTCACAACAACCATCAGAATTGACCTTGGATGATCCAAAACCACCCAAAGCACCACCACTTCCACCACTTTAACTTGGACTGGGAGAAAGCAGCAAGCCAAGTATTGAGTCACCCGAGACCGAAATTGAATTCATTCTCCCTGACTGTTGGATATTGCAACAATACAGCAACTTCCAAGAAAAATATCCAGGATTGGATGTGTCAAACAAGTAACTAGGTTGCAAGTACTGTGCAAAACATGACTTCTCAATAGAGAGCGGTATTCATATGTCCAAAGAATGGAAGCAATTCAAGATTGAGCCAGCTGGGAAAAATAAGGAAGTGCAGCAGGCATCTCTACAGAAGAAAATGAAAGAACATTTCACATCAAAATTGCACACCATTTGTAGACACATCAAACAAAGGGAGCAGGATGCCATAATAAAAGCAATGGAGAAGATACCTGGAAAGCATTTAGACACCACTTCTAAAATGTTCAAAACTGTTAGAGCCTGGCAAAAGCATGTAGACCAATTTCAAGCATAGAAGAATTGATAGAGTTGCAAGCTGAAAATTGAGTAGATCTGGGAATAGGATTGCATTTAAGGCCAACAGTTGTAAAAATAGTTGAGTGCATTGCTAGCAAAATTAAAACTGAGATGTTTTCCAGCATCATTGCACAGAATCTGAAAATATGTTTAATCATTGAGAAAGCCTCAACGGTATCCTGCAAACCAGTTTTGATAGTTTTCATGAAAGTTGAGAACTCAGAGAACCCACCAACAATTTCTGTCGAGCTTGTTGAAATAAAAAATTTAATAGCGTTTTGCGTGATGGTGCCAGCGTTTTGCTTGGGAGAAAATCTGGAGTGAGCACTAGGATAACAAAAGAGTTTCCAAACATCATCATATGGCAGTGCTTGAACCATCGCCTCCAACTTGAGTTAGATGACGCCATAAAGGAAATAAAGCAAGTAAATCATTTTAAAATATTTATTAATAAGATATGCTCTATTTTTCAGCAATCCAATAAGAACCGAATTGAACTTGACAAAATATCCGAAGAACCTGACACGATTCATTGGGAAAGACTTTTAGGAAGCATCATAACAAATTTTCAGAAAAGACTAATGGACTGTGAACATTTTAAAACAGGTAGCCAATTACAAGACACCATAAATAAATTACAATTTCTACATTTTTGATGCCAGAGTACTGGGTTTTTTTTTCAGAAGTAGTAGTTCCATGGAGAGCAGCTGAGGAACAACTGCGCACATTTGGTGACATTTTCAATTACAACATTTTGTGGAGAATATGTTAAAAAATTCAAAGAACTACGCAGTGTTAAAAAGCAAAAGATATTATCAGAACAATTGCTGTCAGTTTTGCAGAAGCTTTCAAGATTTCTTGAAAATGAACTTATGTTCAGAGAGCAGTTCACCTTACCATTTCTAACCAACCTCATGACAATCAATATTACTGGTCTACCTCTTCCAAAATGGGACCCTATTCCTGCAGTGAGGCAGTGGCTACCATCGCTCAACTGATGATCCCAGAATCAAGATCAAGAAAAGTGAAGCGATGTGCTCGCTTCGGCAGCACATATACTAAAATTGGAACGATACAGAGAAGATTAGCATGGCCCCTGCACAAGGATGACACGCAAATTCGTGAAGCGTTCCATATTTTTAATATTGAGGAACCAATAATGTTGGATACATGGGAAAGAATCTGGGTAAGAAATGTGAAATTTACACAAGCTCAAAATCTGAGAGAAAATTTTTATAAGATGTTCTATAGATGGCATTTAGATCCCAAAAAGCTTGCTTCTATGTATCCGAATGTACAGCCTAAATGTTGGAGGTGTGGATCTCTCGATGCTACATATTATCATATATGGTGGACTTGTAAAAAGGTTAAAGCATATTGGATAAAAAATATGGTGGATTACGCAAAATGTTCTTAAAAAAAGGATAAACCAAGGTGCCAAGAGCCAAGGTGGCGCAGTGGTTAGAGTGCTGTACTGCAGCCACTTCAGCTGACTGTTAT